TAGAGCTCCATTCACGTAGTAGTCTAGCTTCATAGTTTGACGTCAACATAGGGATGTAGTTATGTAGCTTGTGATGTGGACTCGGATGCCAACTTCTGATACTTTTGGTATATGAATCGTGAATCCTTATGTTGCTTATTCCTCCATATATGAATCACAAAATCTTGTTATGCTTCCTTTTGTAGATGATATGGCATGAGGTGTACTCAGGTAGACGTCGAAGAGTCTATGATTCATGGGAAGCATGCCATGACCAAGTCAATCATTACAAAGACAATTTCTACAAAGGGTATGATACTACAGAGGAGGCGGAGCATGCTTACTCCAACTACTTGCTCCAAGAGGAGAGAAATTAAGGTACAGGTGGAGTTGGATGAATAACTTGTTTATCCTAATTGTGGTCTTGCTTAGTGTGATGCTTGTGTAGTCCATATAACATAAATTGGTGACATTGAGGTTTTAGTGACTACTTGGGACTTGTTATGATGCTTTTGGTACTTTTATGAAGAACTTGTGACTTGTTATGATCTTTTGTTTGTGTGATGTTTGTGGCACTGGCTATGATGTGGTATTGTCTATGGCACAATTTGCTATACATATATGTCTTTTGTTGTAGGGCAGATGTAGAAACAAATATAAGAAAACATATGAATTGATATTTGTTGAGTACACTACTCGGTAAAGAAGTATTACCAAGAACAAAGCTCGGTGAAATGGCCACGTGTTGAGCTCTGGTAGCCTAATCCATAGTTTGACAAGTACGTACACTTGCCGAGTATTGCCAGGACTTGCCAAGGCAAGGTAGTGGGCCGTACTCGGCAAACAAAGAACTCGTAAAGACACGGTTTGCCGAGATCCTGCATTCAAATCTCGGCAAACAATGGAGGCCACGTGCCTCGCTCCTGGGCTTCCAAGTTCGTCGAGTCCCCTATTCAAGCTCTCGCAAAGTGTCTTACCACGTGGCAGTCGCCATCTCCATGTGGTCTATCAGGTGCCTTTTTTTTGCCGAGTATCCCACTTAGAGATCGGAAAAGGGTTTGCCGAGTCCCTGATGGACGACCATCGCCAAAGTGGGCTTTGTCTGAAGGGTTCGGGCCAAGTACCCTTAGCGGGGAACTACACTTAGCAAAGTCTCTTCTGAGTGGGAAATGTTGAATTTTCTTAAATAAAGTCATTTTGAGCGGTTCCGGCATGTGCCGGCAACCAATCCATCGTCCATGCATGCATTAAGATTCGTGCCACTGTGAATATTCTATTCTCATTTTTTTACTATAGTGGGATATACTCCATCAAATACAACTAGTAGCCCCCACCTTTGTCCCTTATATGCCAGGCTTGGCAACATGTGACAACCCACTCTCTCCCTTCTCCCACACATAAATCCATCCTTTTATTTCAATTTAGCTAAATTAAATTCATATATTTGATGTCATGGCGTCGAAGACCTTTAGAACTATACCAATCTTGGATACATTTCAAACACGTTTCAATTTCGATGTTTCACATTTCTTATGTGAAACAAACCCATTTCACTAAAAACATGTGAATTTGTTTTCAATAGAAATATGTGAAACCAGTCTATTTCACAGAAACTTTTTTTACCCCAATATGAAACTACAATGTCAACTTGTGAAACAGGTTATTTGAAATTGTGCAACCGTATATGTCAAAAGAGCGAAATATATTATTTTTGTGAAACAAGTAGTGGAAAGTGAAATGTAGGTTCTAAATTGTGAAATAGTAAATATAGAAAGTGAAATTGTAATGTATCTTGTGAAACTAATTTTTTGGAAATGTGTAGCAATTTATTTGAGAAGAGTGAAATATGTTATTTTCCAAAATGTGCAATTGAAATAAATGTGATTTTCTGAAACAAGCTAGTGGAAAGTGAAATGTGCGTTCTGAATTGTGAAATAATAAATACAAAAAGTGAAATTGTAATGTATCATTGTGAAACTAATTTTTGGAAATGTGTAACAGTTTATTTCAAAAGAGTGAAATAGGTTATTTAAAAAATATACAATTAAAATATATGTTGTGAAACAAGGTAGTGAAAAGTGAAATGTATGTTATGAATTGTGAAATAGTAAAGGTGAATTTGTAATGTATCATCGTGAAACAGATTATTTCAAAATATGAAATATATTATCTGAAAAATGTTCTAACGAAATAGATGTGGTTTTTGTGAAACAAGGCTATGAAACTGATTATTCTGATATGTGAAATATGCGTTTGAATTTAAACGTGGTCGAAAAATATTCAAAATTGATCTCATTTTAAAGGTTTTCTCACAAGGAGTTCAAATATAAAAAATTTCAAAAACGAATATATGGTTTAAAAGTTAAGGATGTTCAAATTAGCCAAGAAGAAAGAAATGGTTGGATTTATTGAGTGGAATAAGAGAGAGAATAACTCTATTACACTGTCAGACATGCATGTAAAGTAAACTGGTGGGGGCCTGTTGCTGAAGTAAGGGTGGAAATATGAAGATAGGAAATACGAAAGAAAAATGCAATACAAAGATACTTTTTTTTGCGAGAAAATTTCCAATCTATTCATCTTCAATCATGGCAGTACAAAGAATACTAGAAATAATAAAAATTATATCCAGATCCATAGACCACCTAGCGACGACTACCAGCACTGAAGCGAGCCGAAGGCGCGCCGCCGTCATCGCCCCTCCATCGCCGGAGTCGGGCACAACTTGTTGTAGTAGACAATCGGGAAGTCGTCGTGCTAAGGCCCCGTAGGACCAGCGCACCAGAACAGCAACCGCCGCAGATGAAGAATAACGTAGATCAGAAAAATACTTGACCCACATAGTGTTAGATGACAGCTTCCTATTGAAGTCACCTTGCCGGTATCTAGCGGAACCGTGCAATTTTACTTTTCGAGTTTTCAAGCACTCGGGGAACTTGGAAATTTCAGTACGTAGGATTTATTCGGGATAGCATGTGGCGCCGATACAAACATACGGACAATGGGATTTCCGTGTCTCGAACCACCAGTAGGTGGCAGTATTCACTCATTGCCCGTATCCTTTGTTGATTACAACTTGGCACCGCAGTTTGCTCCGTGATGGCTAATTAGTAAGTTAAGTGAGTAGATTGATGTCTAAAGAAAAGTTAGTGAATTGATCTAATGATGTGCTTCCGTCTGGCCGTCCGCCTCCATTATACGCACGGTGGCCGCCGGTGTACCTGCCACGGCAAAGATTCCGCAGAGTGCAAACAAGGAACAACATATTAAACCATGCGAATTGAACCTGCTGCTCCGGAAGACAGCCCACCACATGCAGGCGTGGGGACACTCCGGCGCTATATATCTCCCGGCCGCCAGTCGAGCAGCAGCAGCAGTTCAAGCTTCCCCTGTTTAATCAGCCACCTAGCCATCGTCGTTTCTTGCATAGCCAAGGAGAGAGGCGAGAAGATGGCGTCGAGGGCTGCGACGATGGTGGCGCTGCTGCTCGCGGCGGTGGCGGCGACGTGCGCGCGGGCGCAGCTGCACGAGAAGTTCTACAGCGAGTCGTGCCCCAGCGTGGAGGACGTGGTGAGGAGGGAGATGGTGAGGGCGCTGTCCCTGGCGCCCAGCCTCGCCGGGCCGCTCCTCCGGATGCACTTCCACGACTGCTTCGTCAGGGTAAGCAGCATTTGCATGCATGTTGTCTGTCCGTAACCTGTTTTGTGCAGTGGCCTGACCACCGTGGATGCAGGGGTGCGACGGCTCGGTTCTGCTGGACTCGGCCAACAAGACGGCGGAGAAGGACGCGCAGCCGAACCAGACGCTCCGTGGCTTCGGCTTCGTCGAGAGGGTGAAGGCCGCCGTGGAGAAGGCCTGCCCCGACACCGTTTCCTGCGCCGACGTCCTCGCCCTCATTGCCAGGGACGCAGTATGGCTGGTGAGTAGAGTACCAGGCCATTTTGCAAATGACACGTTACATGTCGAAGCCAAATGCTAATACTGCTCGATCATGGTTTTTCCAGAGCAAGGGTCCATTCTGGACAGTTCCCCTCGGCCGGCGAGACGGCAGCGTGTCCATATCCAACGAGACCGACGCGCTGCCACCCCCGACCGCCAACTTCACCGTGCTCACCCAGCTCTTCGCCGCTGTCAACCTCGACGCCAAGGACCTGGTCGTCCTCTCCGCCGGGCACACAATAGGGACGTCGCACTGCTTCTCCTTCTCCGACCGACTCTACAACTTCACCGGCATGGAGAACCCCAGCGACATCGACCCAACGCTGGAGCCACAGTACATGATGCGGCTAAAGAGCAAGTGTGCCAGCCTCAACGACAACACCACCCTTGTGGAGATGGACCCCGGCAGCTTCAAGACCTTCGACACCGACTACTTCAAGCTGGTGAGCAAGCGGAGGGGCCTCTTCCACTCCGACGGTGCCCTCCTCACCGACCCCTTCACCCGCGCCTATGTCCAGCGCCACGCCACCGGCGCCTTCAAGGAGGAGTTCTTCGCCGACTTCGCGGCCTCCATGATCAAGATGGGCAATGCCAATCCGCTCACTGGCAGCCAGGGCGAGATCAGGAAGAAGTGCAGCGTGGTGAACCATTAAATTACTCTAAGATCAGGAAGAAGTAGTACAAGGCTGTTTTGATTCAAGACCATCCCCTTCTCCGTGTAAATTACTGAAAGATTGTTATAGCTCCTTTCTCTCCCAAATCTTTTTCTTTTATTAGTTTATTGTTTCGATACCCACCGTGTTAATTTCTTGTACACACGACAAACACTCCGTCCGTTGTCACATGGAGATTCATGTCACGCTTACTTGTGTTGTCTAAGTTTGTCTTGTTTTATTTCAAATTGTTACATACAGTTGTATTTTTTGTTTGATCTCATAGCTCAACCTGACAATCCATCCCGTGGGTTCACTCGCCCATGTGCACCCGACACTAAGGAAAGAGAGTATCTGGCGACCGCAAAACGGATGTCGAAGGCTTTTTATCGGTGCCGTCGGCATACCTTCATATACAGCGACTGTCTAGGTAAACCTCAGCCGTCGGCAAACCCCTATGTACGCCAACGGTGAGGTCAATGCCGCCGTTAGATCTATGCCCTCATGGGGGCCATGGGCAAATATATTCTTCTCTATTATTTAAAATTTCAAATCCATTTCTATTTTTAATTTAAATCTGACTTCTAAATTTAAACATATACAAATTATATATCAATTTTGGTGGAATTTTTCATATATTATGAATATCCACTTTGTTTCTGTTTTTGAATATGTTAAAAGGCGACCTCGTGTACTTTTGAAAATAGGTCCTTGTACTTTGTCAAAATTATTACTTGCATTGATGTTGAAAAAAAGGTTTTCCCCGCAAAAAAAGAAAAAAATGTTTTAGCATCAGAATCTTGAAAGGCTTCTGTTGGTATACTATGTTTGCAAACTTGGACGAACTGACATTATATTTGCTTTAAATTTTGCCGAAAACACCCTATTATTTTGACTTGTTTGTATATTTGCTTTAAATTTTGTAGAAAACACGGCTCTCTAGTGTGACCCCCTTCACAGATGGCACTACCGCCTGCACTTAAACAGGGAAACTGCCAAGAGGGTAACCCGAAGGGAATCTTGTGATACGGTTGGCCCAAACTATGTTTTCAATGTTCCTATGGGCTGACCAAGCATAACCAGGTAGAAAAGTCCATTGGTGAAACACCGTCCGTCGCGAGTAAAGCCCTAGATTTCCCGGTCAAGCTGGAAGGATTAGGCCGCTCCAGGTCTTTAGAGGGCATCAATCCCACCAAAACTTGCATTGTATGCTAATACATGTCTAAAAGTGTGGTGGGGCATGTAAATAGGTATTACACAGCCTAGGAGTGTGACCCCCTCCATGGACAACACTACCGCATGCACTTAGAGGGGGAAACTGCCACAGAGCGTAATCCGAAAGGAATCTTGTGAGAGGTTGGGCTCAAATTTTGTTTTTAAATGTACCTATGGTCTAGACTAGCACAACCAAGTAGCAAAATCCTTTGGTCAAATGCCGTCCATCACCGGTCCAAGGGGGTAGCATTCCCGGTCAAACTAGCCAGGTTAGGCCGCTCCGAGGTTTTCGGAGGGTAGCAATCCCACCAAAACTTGCATTGTGTGCTAATACATGTATAAAAGTGTTGTAGGATATTTAAATAGGAAATACACAGCTTCGGAATGTGACCCCCTTCATGGATGGCACTACCGTTTGTGTTATTATGGGCTACCAGGTAGAGAAGTCCATTGTTCAAATGTCGTCTATCGCTCATTAAAGGGGGGTACCTTTCCCGGTCAAACTGGTTGGGGTTAGGTCGCTCTGGGGTTTTCGAAGGGTAGAAATCCCACTAAACTTGCATTTTGTGCTAATACATGTTCAAAAATGTGGTTGGATGTTGAAGTAAGCAATACACAGCTCCAGAGTGCGACCCCCTTCATGCATGACACTACTTTGTGCACTTAGAGGGGTAAACTGCCACGGAGGGTAACCCAGAGGGAATATTGTGATAGGTTGGGCTCAAACTATGTTTTAAAAGTTGCATGGCAATATATCTCGGAATGGCTATGGAAATGCCATAATAGGTAGGTATGGTGATTGTTTTGAGGAAGATATAAGGAGGCTAATGTGTGATAGAGTGTATCATATCGCAGGGTTTGGATGTGCCTGCGAAGTTTGCACCACAACTCGAGGTTAGAAGGGGGCAATGCACGGTAACAAAGAGGCTAGCAAATTTCAGAAAGGTAAGAGTGCGTATAGTCCATGAACTCAAAATTAGTCATAAAGAACTCGCATACTTATTGTAAGAGTTTATTAGCACTCAAAGCAAAGTACTACTACACATGCCCCTAGGGGGATATATTGGTAGGAAAGGACCATCGCTCGTCCCGACTGCCACTCATAAGGAAGACAATCAATAATAAATCATGCTCCAATTTCATAGCATAACGAGAGACCATATGTGCATGCTTCGGGAATCACAAACCTTAATACCAATATTATTACTAAACCACAATTTACTACTAGCATGACTCTAATATCACCATCTTTATATCTCAAAACAAATGCAAGGAATCAAACTTCTCATATATTCAATGATCTTCATGAAAGTTTTTATTATATTCCTCTTGAATACCCATCATATTAGGACTAAATTTATAACCCAAGCAAATTACCGTACTATTTATAAGACTCTCAAAATAATATTAGTGCAGCATGAGAGTTCATCAATTTATTTAAAATATAACCACCGCCGTGCTCTAAAAGATATAAGTGAAGCACAAGAGCAACTGCCTAACTCAAAAGATATAACTGAAGCTCAAAGAGTATTCTAATAAATTCACGATTAATGTGTGTCCCTTTCAAAAAGGTGTGTCTAGTAAGGATGATTGTGGCAAACTAAAAGACAAATAAAGCAAAGACTTATATAATACATGACACTCCAAGCAAAACGCATATCATGTAGTGAATAAAAATATAGCCTCAAGTAATTTACGGATGAATTGTAGACAAAAGAGGGGATGCCATCCGGGGTATCCCCAAGTTTAGACGCTTGGTTGTCCTTGAATTTTACCTTGGGGTACCTTGGGCATCTCCAAGCTTAGGCTCTTTCCACTCCTTATTCCTTAGCCCATGGAAACTTCACTCAATACTTGAAACCTTCACAACAGAAAACTCGTGCGATCCATTAGTATAGTAAAACAAATCACCACTTTAGATACTATTGTAAACTCATTTCAATTTTATATTTGCATTATATCTAGTGTATTCTAACTTCATCATGGCTCATGCCCCCAGATACAATTCATAGATTCATCAAAATAAGCACACAATGCAATGAGAACAGAAGCTGTCAAAAACAGAACAGTCTGTAAAGATCCAATTATAGTCATACTTATGTAACTCCAAAAATTCTAAAAAATTAGGATAGCGTGGGTAATTTGTATATGAATCATGTGATTCATAATTTTATCGTGCTCTAGCGAATTTAAATAATTCTGCTACTGGACACAAAAGTTTCTGTTAATGCACTTAATCAAATCAACTATCATCCAAATCACCCCAAAGGTCTTACTTGGCACAATCACTAATTTAAAAACAAGAGCACCATCATAACAGAAGTATAATGGTGTATTTATTGCAAAACAGAAGAAAAACAAGAAAAACAAGAAATCCTAGGCATATTGCATAGATCTAGGTATTGTCATCTTTGGTTTTCTTTTCCATAGATGTGTTTTTATCGAAATGTTTTTCTAATATAACAGTAAATACATCATCCATAGATATTTTAACATTAGAAAGTTGACCATTTCAAATCCCCCTTGATTACCAGCGACAATCCAAGAATATTGTTGATTAACATCATTGAAAACTTGTTGGATCATACTCAAGAGGGAACTTACTTTTTAAGGTTCTCATCAAAGATATGATCATTGCGAAACAAATAACTTAATAAATAATCACTATTATAAAGGATCTCATCTATCACCGGTTTTTCACGGTTCATACCATAAAGTCAAATATTTCCCTAGCTTCCCACACTATTTGATCAAACTCATTCACGAGGACAAGAGTGGCTATCTTTTTAGCCCTAGGATCTTTTATAATAGACAACTCATAAAACAATCTTTGCAATGTAGGATGAGTATGAATAGAGCTTCTCTCAAGTTGAAGAACAAGTGCAGAAATAGCTTCTATGTAAGTTTTAGTTCTTTTAAGTATAGGAGCATCATCACAAGTCAAATTTCCAAAGCAAAGAATTCTTGGATGACACTTTTTCCTATAACATTCCCTTGCCCCAAGACAAAAGTTTTAGCATCCCAATTAGTGGAACTTCCAATTTTAGGAGTTCTACCATCATCTGTTTCTGCCGTACCAAAATCACTCATGATGAAAGTCTCAAGGCAAGCAAACAAAAGATCAAACAAGAAAAAGATAAATAAAAAGGCAAACAATTTTGTGTTTTTCTAAAAATGTTTTAGAAGTGGGGGAGAGGAAAAGGAGAGGCAAATGGAAAATAATGTAAATGCAAGAGATGAGAGTTTATGATAGGTACTTGGTAGGCTTGATGTAGATCCTCCCCGGCAACGGCACCAAAAATTCTTCCTGCTACTTCTTGAGCTTGTGTTGGTTTTTTCCTTGAAGAGAAAAGGGTGATGCAGCAAAGTAGAGATAAGTATTTCCCTCCGTTGAGAACCAAGGTATCAATCCAGTAGGAGGAAGATGCAAGTCTTCAATAGTTGTACCTACACAAATAAACAAATACTTGCACCCAACGCGATAAAGGGGTTGGCAATCCCTTCACGGTTACTTGCAAGGATGAGATCTGATGGTGATAGATATAAAAGATAAGTAAAAGTATGAAATAAAATAAAAGTAAATAAATTCCAACAAGGTATTTTTGTGTTTTTGATTTTGTAGATATGAAAATAATATGATAAAAGATACACCCGGGGCCATAGTTTTCATTAGAGGCTTCTCTCTTGAAAGAAAGCCTATGGTGGGTAAACAAATTACTGTTGAGGAATTGATAGAAAAGCGCATAGTTATGATGATATCCAAGGCACTGATCATGTATATAAGC